GCCTCTAGCTGTTCGGGCATTGCCTCGTCTCAGCAACAGCGTTTGAGTTCGCTGTGTAGCGCAAACGCCCTCCCACTAAGTGTAAGGTTGAGGATTTAGGGTTCCACGGGGTTCACGGTAGATTTGTGAAGTCGGGTTTTAGCCAACCATTGGAAATCATGATTTAATTATTTAGCAAAAATGTTGCAGATTTATTTAGAGAGGGGGGAAGCACCTGGGAATCTATAGTGTTTCAAATAGTGAAATAGATTAGCACCTGGGAATCTATAGTGTTTCAAATAGTGAAATAGATTAGGGTGGGGAAAGCAGTCTGAGACAAGTCCTGAGATATCCTGAGATGCCAGAGAGAGAGAGAGAGGGCAGACTCCGGTTGCAGGCGCCTTCCCAAGGTCGCCTGGGAACCGCATCACGTATTCCCTTTTCGAGTCCGCACGAGAGAGAGAGAGAGAGCGAGGGAGCGGGGAGCCCTAGTCACTGGTCACACTCCGCTGCCCTCAGCCTATTCCTACTCTATTCTATTGTGTGAGGGTTTCAGAGTCGCTAATTTTTTTCTCTATTTTGGATGTCATGATATGCTAGTTTTTTGCTATTTTTCGAGGAAATAGCAAAAAAATAGCAAATCCATTAGCAGGTGGGAAATATTAGTGAAAAAAAATAGTGAGAGAAATAGAGCAGGGCAGGGAAACTGCAAATAGTTAGAGCGGGAATAGTGAGAGAAAAAGAGCAGGGCAGGGAAACTGCAAATAGTTAGCGGGCCTATAAGCCCGCTCGCTGCTAGCTACTTACTAGCTAGGACCTAGGACCGAGGACTTACAGGGCCACCGAGAGACAGGAAGCTGGGATACATCAGGGCCATGCAAGCTGGGATACGGACACCTCTCTTTTTAGGTTTACTAAACTTTTGATGGTGCTATTTCTCTCTCTAATTAGATTTACTAAACTTTTGATGGTGCTATTTCTCTCTCTAGTTAGGTTTACTAAACGTTTGATGGTGCTGTTTCTCTCTCTAATTCAATTAGCAGTTATTTTGCTAAAATAATCTTTCATGTCTACCAGTGGTTCCCTGAGCACAGCTTCACAACGGTAGATTTATACATTTGTGGGTGTTGCTTTAAGGCCCAAGTGTCCCGTGGTTGGGGCGGGATATAGAAATTGAATCTCACTGTACTTGTGTGTACCATGTTTGACTCCCATTGCTGTATGGCAGAAGGAAGCCTTTTCACCCACTCTTCGTCGTGCACCGAGGCTGACGCTGCACTCCTTCAGCATGTTGACTACCGGTCCGTTTCACTCAGATCGGCGGAAGCCCGCCGGTTCAGGCGGTCCGGTCCGGCGGTCTACGCCCTCGGAAGGATGAACCCGTTTCCGAATCCCAAACAGGCGGTGGGGAAGGTGCCCTGTGGCGCGTCCGAAAGACTGACGAGTTTTCTCCATCATTTGCATTCAGTTGCCTTCATTTTGTCCTCGACTCATTTGCTTTCATGTTATGTTCATTTGCTGTCATATGGTTTTCATGTGTATTGTAATTAGACTAAATGTATTTAGTTTGCTTCCATTTCGCGTTCATGTGCAGCAATATGCTTGAAGTTTTCTGGATTAGATTTGGGATGTGAATTTTTGTATTATGGACTCAGACTATTGTTATACCTCCAAAACCCTTAGGTTTGGTGGCAATATAAATCAAATTACTGTAGATCTCGATTGTTTGGCAGACTTGCATGTTATTAATAGAGACCAGCTGCTTGATACAAATTGAACATCCTTCTGTCAGTTGCGGGCTGTAGTGATTGTTTACACCAGAGAGAGACAGGCAGCCTTGCAGGATTGGGGTAACCACCGGCTCTACAGGCTGTGAGGGTGCTGGTTTGGTTTGCTTTGTGATGGCCCGGCGGGCGTGATGTTCTCATCTTCTCTTCAGATGCTGCTCCGCCCTGGGCGGGGTTCCTTTGAGGTCACGCCCGGCTGATGATGGACTTGGCGCCGCAGGCGGCTGAAGTCCTCCGTGGTGTGCTTGATGGGGAAGACAGGATTGTTTTTCATGTTCACATGTACCCCAGGGATGCAAGTCCCATTTCAAAAGGTATTTAGACTCTAGACTCCTGAAACTCATCCCGTCACACCTTCTCAGGAGGTACGACTGGGGGTACTTTGCATCAAGAACATGCAGTGCGATTTGAGGATGGACTTTAAGGATTGATTGGCGCCTCAAAATCCATCACAAAGTTTCAACACACTCTTTTCTCTTCAGTCGTTTCTCAGATTCAAAGGTATTTTCGTCAGAGCCTTCGCACGGGAAAAAAGGGGCGGATGAACAGTTTTCTGCAGATCTACCCAGGCCTATTAGTATTAATATATGTGGTTTGTGTGACTGTGTGTCGACCTAGCAAGAAGCTGATCAAGAAAGCCGAAAGCTTCTCGATTCCTTAAGGTTGCTCGAAACTATGCATTTGAGCCAAAAAGCACTAGCAGACATGTGGGGTAGTATGTGGGGTCTAGTGTGGAGGTCTATGTCCTCCAAAATGCCAGCCCCAAACAAGCAATCACGGCCCCACTACAAGGTGCAGATCGATGTCAGCTAAACGCAACCTCTCGTCCGAAACTCAAGTGGGACATACACACATAGTATTTAATGCTTAGTTATACCTGTAGACTACAGCCCTTTATGATTTCGATTATTGGTGTTGGTTCTGACAACGGAGGGTGCTTTCAGTTTGGGATACCGAGTGGTTCTTGGACATGGGCGACGAGAATCGACTGTTTGGGATGCATTTCAATCCAGGGCGCCTAGTGGAGGGTAGAGTTGCCCCGCAAAATCCAAACACTTCCTGTAAGACTTGTGACCCTCGAGTTGGAACCAAAAGCACTTGGCCGAGTTTCTAAAAAATCATCGGCTGTTTCTCGCGAGGTCTCGGCGACCTTGAGCATGGCACGAGAGCCTATAGAGGGCGCGAGGGGGTCAGTGGGCTCTGAACGTGGGACGATGCTTTCAGGTCGTAGGTCGTAGGTCGTCCCATGAGGTCCGGATGGCCGGTTTGGGGAATCCAAGCAACGGCATTCTTCACCCACCTCCACATCCCACAGATATCCACTGCGGATTTTAGGTGTTGGTTGGTTGGTTGGTCGGTTGGTTGTGAACAAATATATCCCCACCTTCCCACATTCCACAATATATCCACGTTGTAGATGTTGGTGGCTGGTTGGTGGGTTCACATCCACATCTCTCGGGCTCCGCTGGCGCGCGGAACCGCCGTCAGCAGCTTAGGCCGATCACCGCAGCGTGGCGCTGACCTTTTGCCCGGCGGCCCGGAGTATGTTGGAGTCGGACGTCGGGTTGGGACCCAAGAACAGCAGTACAATGTACCCTAGCTAGGGCTCCAAGTACCTCCTCGGAGGGTATTTGGACCCTGACACCCGCCCCAGTCCCACCTTCTCAGAAGGTACGACTGGAGCCCTGGGGGTAATGAGACTTTTTGATTAAAAAATTCTCCCCTATATGGGGATTTATTGATCCAATTATCTAGCCTGATCCCTTTGGCATCGCAAAAGGCAGACCAAGAGCAGGCCGAATCATGCTTGGTAATCGTTTTGTTGGACCTAGGTCTCGGTCTCGGGGTGTGCTTCAACGTGGTTCAACATGCGTTTTGTTCTTGAAGTGAACACGTCAACGGCGCCTACGGAGATCCGTAGGCGCCAGGCATGTGCCGAACTCGGTCGAGCGATCAACCCATGAGAGGCGCCTACGCCCGTATCCGGGAGCCACCACAGCAGGCGAAGCAGCGTGGGGGTTAACAACACGAGAACCGCATGGTGGAAGGTTGTTTTTTCGTTCTTCCTCACGATGCCTCAGGCGGATTAGCTTCATAAGTAGCTTCATATTGCATCAATGATGCAGGGGCTTGGTTGAAAGAGGTTAGCAGCAATCATAGCGTTGTTTTACTGCTTTATGTAATAAGATGCAATCTCCACGGTAGTTTCTTACTCTTGAATCGCCATGTCGACTGTTTGTTTCACGGTGTTTGCTCAATGGGGCCCATATTGATTGAATGAGGATTGGATTGGCTACAGCGCCGACAGCTGATGAAGAGGGCAGGGGGAAACTCGCCCTTTTCAAGCTGCGAGCAATGCATGCAAGGTCTTGCAGAATCTTTTGCAGAAGCCGGAGGGCCCAGTGGATCACAGAGAGCTGCACAAAACCAACGGCTGGGACAGGCCAAAGCTTGAACGGCTGAGGCACATCCACACGTTGAATCCTTGGTCCTCGTTACCAGGTCATGCAGGGTGAAATTCCTCCAAGCACTCCGGAGGCCTGTCTTTCACCGTAGGTTCGCGGCATTCAGGTCTCTTTGAAGATCAGTTAGGAGAGTATATCATGTCCATTTAAGTTATGCCGACATCAAGTCATATCATACAGGGTCGGCAAGTCCTACCATGTTCTAAAGTTTGCTCGCACAGCTCAAGTCACAGAGATCTAACGAATTCTAGCGATGACTTTGTGTACCCCCAAGCCCCAGGCAAGGCAATGATTATGGGAAGGGACATCCTTGGAAGATGGACCAATTGCAGTATCATCACTCGCCCACACAACATGGAATGTTCATGAATGTTCCACATGGCCCTTTGAGCTTGACCTTGTGCATGGTTTTGTGGGTCCTCTAAAAGCAACCAGCCCGGGCTGCTTTGACAAACAACATTTGCACAGAACAACTTACCACGATACAATGGCACATTTGCAATTCTTGTTCAAGGCTCCCGTGATCGATTGAGTTTTTGCACAGAGTGCAGTAAGACTCTCGCCGCTGTTGGGGATTCGTTGGGGACATGGAGATGCGGTGGATATTTTGCCCTGAGGCAACTAGTTATTATGGGGCTTCTTCCCTCAACGCTGCACCGAAACCAGAAATCCTCATTGGCATCATGTGCAGACTCCGTCATTCCAGGCTTTTAGGTGGTGAGGAGTTCGTGTAGCATTGGCTGTGCTTCAACGGGGGCGCCGTTGTTCCGGCTCAAAAAGCGCTCCGAAACACGTCGTGTGTTCCTCCGACCCACAGTTTTCAGCCGCATTTCGCATCTTCTTTGAGACCCGGCAGCAGAGGTGGTGAGCCTGAAGTAGGACACCATGAGCGGAAACTGGTCAGTTGTTGGGGTTACTGAGCTCATGTGCTATTTGCATGGGGCCGGGGATGAGACAAGATCCAACCCCTTGTGGCTTTACAAAAGTTTTTTCTTGGCAAAATTGAAGGGGTACTGAGAATGGCGCAATAATTCGTCAGATGGATCAAACAAGTGTTTTTTCAACGTTGGACCTTCGACTTCCCGGCTGCATGTTCCAGTCTGACTGGATTCGCACAAGTATTGAGGTGGACGTCGACGTACAGACCAACACATGGGAGAGCACTGAGCAGCGGATGCCCACAAACATGGAGGTCTAAAGAAGAATCACTTTGCATGTTTAATGATCAGTTGTTAAACAAGAAGCACGAGTGGAATCTAAAAAATATTGACAATGAGGTATAAGATCTTGGAATGCTCCCGTTCTAACCTGTAGTGAGGGTCCCTTAGACACACTCTAGTGGTAGACCTTTGTCGTGTGCGGTTGGTGGATCGATATATCTCTACAAGACAAGATGTCCCAGAATGCAACATAGTGTCCATCAACTCTTTTCATTACATAGCAGTGCTATATGGACCATATATGTAAATAAATACATATATATATATATATGAGGAGGATTTGCTTTGATCTACCACTCACCTTGGACTTGCACGCATGACTTGGCACCTTCACGCGCTTCCCACCGGGCCGCGCCTGGCGGGAAAACGCCTGCTCGCACCTAAGGAGTTGCAATGGGTTGCGGACAGAGCAAGGAAGGCGGTGCCCCAGCCACTCGTGAGTCCAAGGCAAATGTGGATGAGCAGACCTATATGCTTCATGGTCGCAAAATAGGGAGCCACACCTGGGGGTTTTGCATCCAGATCCATATCCACCTGACCTATGCAGGAAAAGCACCTGGCTATGGCAAAATGGTATTCGCACATGTGTTGGATGCACCAGGTGGCCAGGTGTTCCCACAGGTGGTGCAGGGGTGAACCACAGGTGTGAAGCACTGCATAGATGCCAGGTGATGTGTTTGTTTTTTGTTGCGGTGAGGCGATTTTGGGAAGTCTACTTTCGTGGTTTCCTCAGTCCATTGCTGTAAATGAGAAAGTCAAACACTGTTTGAGGATAGAACCAAGAATCTTGAGTCCACCAACCTTACCAGCATAGATCCATTAAACTCACCATGTGAAATTGCAGGCATGGCGACATGACCCTCTGTCAATCCAAAGAAAGGACGGCCCCCAGTTGTGAATCAGTAGTGTGTTTAATGTGTTTTGATTTGCATATCCGTTGGGGAGGTTGCAACATGCCAACTCGGAAATTCCCAAGTTTCCAAGTGTTCCTGAATTGTGCTGGCATTGTGTACAGAACCTATGAGCCAAAAGCACAGGTCCAAATGGAGTATATTGTAATATATGCAATGATTAATCACACCGTATATATTTTTCCCCCCCCCCCCCACACGTTTCAATGAATCTCCCCCAGAGGAAGGTTCGTTTGTTGGAAGCCCCTTCCAGGCTCCAATGGTTGGAAGCCCTTGGAGGCCACAGGTCATACATAGGGTATATAGATATATGTAGCGCATCTAGCTATAGTTCTGCTCACAAGCATACGTAGGGTAGTTGTCCTAGTTCTTAGGTCACCATTTTGCTGTAGTGGAACCAGATGGTGACCGGAGGATGGATCTCAGTCACCTCGGATGGATCCATCGAACCATGGCCGAGGTTCCTTTGCAAGGTCAAGCTCTTGAAGCGTTTGCCCAAGGCATCTCGGGTGGCATCGGGTCATGTTGGCGTGGCTCGTAGGCCGTTGTGGGTGGCTCCCAGAACAGGACGACGTGTTTTTGGTTGCTGTGTGGGTGGCTCGCAGGTCTTTCTGGAAACCCATTCAGTGGACCGAAGTCGTGCTTGAGGACCTGTTGGACTTTATTGAACCACCGGAGAGGCTTCTTTAATTTGAAGCCATGGGAACACAACATGAACCCCAAGCAGTCCTGGGCCACCAATATACCGTTTTGCACATCCAAGTGCCTGCGAACAATCAAATTAAGTACCCATGCGCTCCCTGCAATGGTGATGGAAGTGGAAAACCACTGGTTGGTTGGGAAAATGGTCATTCAAGGGGCCGTTGTCCACTTCCATGATATTTAAAGGGAGTTTAAAGGGAGTGTAAACTATTGTAATTCCTTCAAGCGATTGCATCAACAGATGTTTGATGTCTTTGAGTCTTTGATGTTCAAGAGGTTTCACGATGACATGGTAGGATGCCCGTGGATACTCGTATACGTATATTATATCAATAGAGCCGGGCCAGAGTCCAGAGTTGGAATGAAAGCTGTTCAATGATTGCCAACATCACTGCATTTGAACATATTTCAACTAAACCCAGATGACTCCCAGATGGAGCCAACGCTTATTCTCAGCCTCAATAAGCATGTGATTCCTTGTTCAGACTAGGTCCCACACACTCCACATATGTAAAAATCTTACACCTACATTGACCCCTGAAACCACCCCATACATGGAGTGTTTGGGGTTTGGTTCTTCCTGACGAGTCTGTGATATACCGGACCGCTGGTTCTGTCTGTCCTCCCAGGATGAGTTGCCAGCCCTGGCCAAGCAGGCCACTGAAGTGGAATTCAAGCCAGGCAGGGAAGGGAGGAATCAGTTCAGTCAGTAGGGAGGCTCCTCATGGGTAAGCAGGATGTGTGGTTAGGATCCCAAAGGTCGCCCACAGAACCGGTTGGAAATACAGGCCTGAAGATGGAGAAGCATGAGCGGACACCAGCGGAGCTCCTTTGATTGGAAAGGAACCCCCAAGTGGCTCAAGCCGTACCATGGCCGAACCTCAGTGCCATGATTGAACTCGCGCATTGGACCCTTTCCTTCAAAGTCCACGATACGAGATATAGATATAGTTTTAGGTTGACAGGATCAAACCTTGCGGCTATAAGAGCACACCATCTTGCTATGAGCAGGGGTTGGTTGTCGGAAACAATCCCAGATTGTCCTTCCAAAAAGCAGCTTGACACCTCCATGTCGCTTCTACTCGGGTGGTTGTTTTCACACGGTATTCACCAGTCCGAGAAAATCACGCGCAGGACAGTCGATCATCACACAGGGAGAAGATGGCCACGACTTCTTCATGATCAAGCCTTTTGGCTGCACAGGGAGTGGTAGGACCATGTGTGCCATATGGTCCTTGAAGCCTCTTGATTGCGTTGATTGATGCATTTCTCATTACATCACTATAGGGCAGAACCCAATTTAGCAAGAATTAGGCTCTATACTTCCTGTATGCTTTGGGGCACAAATAAACTAAAACACTTTGTCAATTTGTCGTGGCGATTCATGTTTTTGCAAACCTGCTGGAAAGATAGAGGCAGCCCCCAGCTCCGCTGAGAACATTTTGGCGGGGTCTATGTTAAGTGGTTCACAAGAGAACCAGACACCATACTACCGAACTTCATGGCGAGATTTCACCTGCCCATCTTCATTTAGCCAAAATCAGAATGATGAAGCTCGATTGTTATGCATTCAATTTGTTCCATCCACAGGATCCCAATCCTGTGATCCTGGTTGAATTTGGTTGATCCTTTACGTCATTACTTCTCTTCGGATTTTCCTATAGGCGGCCGATCTCGGATCGCGTTTTTCCCCATTTGCAGGAAGGGCACAGCTGATGTGGAGATCAACGGCAAGAAGGCTCCCAACTCAACGGCTGATGTGGGTGCTTGATGCAAGGGAAGGTTTCAAGAGGGTAAGATTGAGACTTGCCAGCGCCACCGAAAGTGTGGTTTCTAGACACCCTTGTCTCCTTGACTGTGTATTGTGCAGGTTCCACCACCCTTTCCATGGTGCTGGTGCAGTGATTTTGTTTGAAGCACGCTCTTTCGAGCTTCTTCTCAAGTGCGGATTCTTGAACCATTTTTTGCTGAGATTAGTTGTGATCAGCGGGTGGTCAAGCGTTGGTTTAGTTTGGAGGGTGGATGACTAGACTATATGCTTGTTATATAAGATTTGTGTGAGGGCCACATGACGTATGGTTAGTGATGTGTTTTTTTGTTCCTGGACGGTCCGGTAGAAGTCTTGTGGGCTCAAGGACGGGCGCAAGGAGTTTATTATTAGGTAATCAATAGTATCAGTATGAGACAAACTCACTAAAATCCAACCATTTTAACAGGGAATCCGATATGTCTCAGTCAACATGGCAATTGGCCGGAATTCCAGGATGCGGGCCCCTTGCCTACCAAGGTGTTGATTTTCTTGATGATCTATGTGAGCACCCCTTTTTTCTTGCCATGGGAGGAGTGCGACCTATCCAGAGTCCTTTGGACTTGCTCTCCCTGGAACTAACCTGGAAGTGGAAAACCCCCTGTTTAACGAGGAACATGGTCTTCCAAGTCAGTGGTCATTTTCCACGTCCATCTATTTCCAGGGAGTGTAGTACTGTACCCTAAACCCGAGGGCCATGTCGAACATTTACGTGCTGAACCCTCCTGCTTGTCTCTTGCACCAATATCGACTTCATCGAATATCGGTCCAAGGAGAGTTCCTTAGTCCTGGCATCCTAGTAGTATCCCAAGTCAGCGACGTGTGGATACTGTGGACGTGGATCGACCTGACCTCCACTGGCTTCCGTTTGGAAGCCCGTCCAGCTTCCCAACCTTCACGGAAACACGGGGTGTCATGAAAAAAGACACGAAGCAAACATGGCCCCAGAAAAAGCCGCCAGAACCGGTGACTTACTTTGGCTGCTCAGGTGGCATCTTTGAAAGCCGGTGACTACTTTGGTGACCTGACTGAAATGGGCTGAAGATGCGTGGGGTGATGTTGGTGGGATGTTCTTTTCCAAGCACAGCCCTAGCACTACCGAAAACCCTCCTGTTTATATGCGGATGATGGGGGATGTGTCCTTCTCCTGGCAGCCCTAGCACTACCGAAAGCTCTCCTGTGACTCCCCTTTGCTTGCATCCTCTTCCCAAACCCACAGAAATCCATGCGAATGCACACTGCCATACACAGGCCACGTGTTCAAGATCGTGCTCATAATCAGGGAATACGAAGACGCATTATGCTTCAGGCGTCACTTCTATTTAGTACGTATACATACGGACTTTCCCTCCATGAGTCATGCCTCCCTTCTTGCCCGTGGCATGTTGGTGAAAAGAACATCGTCCATGTTGGCGGTCTCCCTGTTGTTTTATCACGCGAGAAGCTTCCGTGAGACACCTTTGTTGTTACGTGGAACGGTGATACCTGGACCTCAGGATCCAGTAGGCCTCAGGACCCAGCAGGCCGAAGCTCCTTTTGCGGAGCACTTACCCATGCAAGTGATGCAAGACTCAACATGACGCAACCGTCCAAAGTCTTTCTTGGGGGGGCTTTCTTGGGGCTTCCTTTCAAGACCCTTCAGCACCGACCACTCACCTCCGCAAGACCCCTGTCACCGACCACAAACGCTCCACTCTCCGAGGTGAGAACGCTTTGTTGCGCAACGAGCCCCGCAACGCCACCATCAAAGCCAATTCCCAGGCGCGAAAACCACCGTCCGCGCCCACCCTCCGCCTCCGCACCCGGGCGCGGTGGACCTGGGTCCAAAAACACCCGCGGGTCTAGACCGGGGGGAACCAGGCAAGCAAGCTTGAGGGGTTGGAGATGCGGGTCATGGCACCTGGAGGCCCAGAATCCTGCGGTTGACATCCCTTGTGGGACAAAGAGGTGATTGGGATGTATGCTGATGACAACATACCTGGAGCCCCAAGGACATACCTGGAACCCCAAGGTGCGTTTGACATCCCTTGTATCAAGGACCCAATGCACAGGTGCTGCTGAGGTGTTTGGGTCCTAGTACAACCAGGAGAATGGGATGTATGCTCATGTGACGTCCGCAACACCCAATTATGCTGGGCTGCAAGGCTGAGTGATACTCTATTCGCAATTCGGAGTCTCTAGTAGACGTTTAGCCGATCTTCACCACTCAGTTCAACTACTGTATCAGCATCGGAATCGGGATACTTGTAGGATTAGTGGATTAGCTAGTCTTGAAGGGTTCAGCCAACCGCCCGACAGATGTCCAACGATTTGCCTGTAGCCCAGCAGCACCTCATGCATGCCAAGCGGCCAGTTTTGCCACCTATCGCAGCAAGGTCATTACCTTGAAGATCACGCGCCAGTCCTTCATGAGCCACTTGGAATTGAAGACACAAAGGCTCATTGCTGTTGGGTCACTATTGGCCTATTCTGGAACCTGATGAAACAAAGCCCTGGATCATAGCTGCCATCGCGGTATTGCAGGACTTCTCAACTCTATCATCACTCTTATCGGGCTGCTCACATATCCAGCATTGCCCACCGCATCATGGAAAGACAGACAATGTTTGGAAGAGAAGACCTCCAGGTTGAACCACTGAAGAAGTAGGGAAGTAAGTCCTGGTTTTATTTGGTTTTGCTGATCAGGCGGTTTTTTTTGTATATTTCAACCCCTATGGTTAAATCCCCAAACCTGGTGAATACCAGAAACCTGGTGAAATCCCCAGAAACCTGGTTAAACCCCCAAACCAATCAGCTAGTTTCTGGGAGCTGCAAGTCCAAGATACCTGTGTTTTCTTGATCGCTGGAGGCCACGTTGCTTCTCGCCGCATCTCGCCGCAACGTTGACAGTCGCCGCTTCCATGAGATCGTAGCGATGGAGTAGCGATGGATGTGCCGGTCGGGCCGGACCTTGGGACTGGACCTTCGAGGGTCTGAGACCCCACATGTGATCCCATCGCCACCAGTATCGCCACCCCTGGACCCTTCTTTATAAGAGTCTTCGGACCCCCTGGACCCCTAAAATAGTGAGCTTTCGCATGACCATGACCGAGCTTCCTCGGCATCGCCCGAGGCCTTGGTCTTCAGGACAAGTTGGAGTTCGCCAAGCGTGGCGCCGTGGGCGGAGGCGCTGCCGTGCAGGTGCGGTCCGAGAACGTCGAGTCCGTCGGGTGGAGAGTCGGCGGGGTGGGAGAGAGTGAACCGGCCGGTCCAACCGTGACGGTCCAGTGACCGTGGATTTGAAGATGAACACCGAGAGCAACGCAGAGCACGTGTAGCAACGGTGAGGTGATCCAGTCACAGAGCTGTCTGGGGTGGTGTGGTGTGGTGTGGCTCGTCCCAGAGCACGTGAGTGGATGTGACTTCTGGGCACCCCGACTAAGCTCATATGGATAGCACCTATAGTCGAACGTGACTGCTGGATCACTGTTTTTTGTTTCTCCCTGGCTTCAGTTCGTGACGTGTTTTGGGAGTCCCTGACTGAACTTCTCACTCCAGGATCAAGTTGGGTGAAATTGAAGAAGCAGGATAAGCAGGTCACACAACACGGGTCAGAACCATATCTTCCAAACATCCTCCAGCCAGAAATTCCATGGTCCACTCAGGCTGAGGTCAAGCCACCCTGCGCAAAGTCTGATGGCGACATCGCGCAACTTGGGCACCGATCGCGATGGCGCGAAAACGGTATAAGTCGGCACCGTGGTTTGGGCTGTGCCTTTTCGGTTTGAATTCAATCATTAGTGTAATAGGGAGACCCTGGCACCAATGGGTTGTGGTCATGTATTGAGCAGCCACGCATCCTGTCGATGACAGAGCCCAGGCTGACCTCAAGCAAGCAAGAGTTTGCAATTGATCTTCGGTATCACTCTATAGTCCAGAGAGTAATTAGTCAACCCATGAGCAGCAGCTAGGTGCAAGCCCGAGTGTGAGAACCCCGATGATAGCCTTCAGATCTTCAGATCTCTTTTCAGCGGTGGGACGGAGTGGAATGACCTGAGGCTGATCAAGAAGGCCTTGCAATCCAACGCCAACTTGAACACCATCGCCAATTTGGACGAGGCGCGCTCTGCGCAGAGATGCGAGGGGGTGCTGGATGTACGGCGCCGGCAGCCTTTACTTCAGCCCTGGGATCCATGGGTGATTGATATGCGCGTGTTTTTACATGCTTTTAACTGCTTTTTTGGAACTTTGAGGTCTTTGAATGACCTTCCAAGGGGCATCCTCCTGTTTCGGGGGTTGCACCACTCACTTGACCTCCAATAAAATTCGTAGCTGAGCCCAGAGCTGGTGCGGAGATCCAGCACATCCACTTGAAGATACTGGAGCCACCTGTGAAGAGTGGACAACCACCTGTTTGTAGTGGATTTCATGGTCTTCCTTACGGGGCCATGCCATCCACGTAACCATGTTAGTTCCAGGGAGTGTAAACCACATGTTCACTTTTTCAAGTGTGTCTTGTTGAGAAGATGCCTTCAGAAGGCATCTCCATGCTCAACCCTGGAAAAAGCAGCGCCCCTTTGCTGGGTTCCCGGAACTTTGCTTCGTGTGCACCACGAACGCACGAGTGCTACTGCTCTCCCAGGGCCGCATGAAGGCCATGTGCGACGTGATGTGGAAAGAGGAGGTTCCGCAAGGCATCCAAATTTGATCGCCCGGGAGGGAGGGATGGAGGGAGGGACAGGGAGTGGGCGACATCTACCATCAGGTCGAGAAAAGGTCATCGGGCGAAGCATCTTGAATATTCTTGAATCAAGCAATACTCGTATCAATTACAGTATACACTTTTGGAGGACCTCGGCTATTACACATTGGGTCAGAGAGCACTAGGGTTTCCGCAGATGATGCAGTATAAGATAATCGTGTTACAAGTAGTATATAGAGGCCTTTAGATATGGGATGTTCCATTCATTGACCCACCGACCCTGCTGTATCCAGCGACATCGCTGGTTCACTGCACCACGAGCCAAGCCACCAGTGAAGCATCGAACGATGACCATGTCGCTGGTGGGAACTGTGAACATCCACTCCACATACTACTCCACCATCCACCATCCCCTACAAGTCAAGGACCTCATTTTACTGGAGATGGTCATGCAAAACCAATACTTAAGGAGGTAAAAGACCAGGTTTTACTGGGTCTTTGGACTTGTAGGGGTCCATATCCACCTCCATGTGGTCTGTGAATCTCAACATGTGGTCCAAACTGGGCAGCTGACGTAACGTGAACTCCGCCGGTTCCGTACCGGTCTTTCGTCCCGCAGGCACTGCCTTGATCAAGCAAAACGACCTCCAGGTGCCAATCGGAAGGACGTGCATCCGACGGTCACCGGGTCGGTGCGGTGCTGGTCCTGGAGTCCTCCGAGGAACGTGGAGGTGGTTCAAATCATGGAGGTGGAGTTCCACTCCCGTTCGTCAAGGAAAGTGTTTTTGTTCCAAGGGAGCATTGTTCATTTCCATGTGAGTGAGTTAGAGATAGTCAGAGTGTAACTGTTAATTTATAGCTTTTACTCTGGGTGAAATGTCAGCAAAAGGGGTTGACGTGACATGACATGTTCACAAGTTTAAGTAGTCAATCTTCAAAAACATTAGTTGTGTCGGATTTTCCAGGATCAAATGTGATCAAGTACCCCCTCTCCCGACTCTAAACAGCTGAGGGATGGGCCATGCTCGACTGTACGTCATGCCATGCCACGAGGCGGACTATTTCTATGTGGTGCAGTCCGGCAGCTTCGCTGTGTCCAAGGCCGAGGACACCAAAGAGGGTCAAAGTGCCCTGCCACGCAGCGGTACCCGCGGCGCGGGATCGGCTGGGATGGTAAGCTTTGGGGACTTTTTTTGGGAAGTCATGGGGCTGAAGTGCAGAAACGCCATCATGATGATGCCGAAGCATGTTTTTTTTCCGCAAACGCCCCGGTTCTAACGCGTTCAGCTTCCGAGTCCATCACTGGGATGGTGTCTTCACACGTTCCAACGCACCAAGTTACATTCTGCAATCCACCCAGACGTCTTGGAAGCATAGAAATCTCCCTCAGAGAATCATGGAAACTGAGCAGGGCCCTGGAAGACCCTTTTCCTCTACAAACAGAGAATCATGGAAACTGGCGCCCCGTGTTGGTAGAGAAAGACATATTCAGGGGCCATTTTTGGCCGAACTGTTCCAGATGAGTTTCAGGGAGAGACTCAGCACTCGAAATAATCATGGCTACGTGGAGCGAAAACCACCCGTTTGCTCCCCCCCATTTGCATACATTAGCAGAAATGTATGAAACCACCCCCCCTCCCTTTGCTACTAGGTTGGAGGCCATTACTACTAGTAGCTAGAAGCTATATACTCGTAACAAGGGCTCTTAGGTTAACATTCACCACTGATCTACAGTATACAGATTTCATGGTCCTCCTTGCTATGCCACGTCGTGGGCGCGGCTTGGCGCGAAGTTCCTCCACGGGTGTCTCACTCAGGTGCCGAGGATGCGGCGACCGCACAGCTGGGCACGGTGGAGGCGCAGAACAGAAGCAGTTTTTAGGTGTTTTTTGTTTTTGTTTCGGAGGCGTTCTGTACCAATTCTATGTCAGTGTCGTGCACATGTTCGATGAGAATGTGTTAACATAATTATGTTCAATTAATTGATTGAATAGTTTGATTTCTTTTAGTATATATATCTTCCAGACTGACCGTGTCCGTTGCTTGGATTTTGGCAAGACCTGAACCTTTTTTTCTTTCCGTCGGGTCTCCCAAAAAATAGTCTTGGAGTCTTGGCAGCGGGCACCCCGCACTAGCTCGCAGCCCGCTTATTCTACGTGTTCGTGCACGAAGCGGCGGCCATGTGTGTTGCACGGTTTGGACCTGAGGCGGGCGGCAGCTTTGGAGAATTGGCCCTGCTGTACTTTGCCCCACGCGTGGCCTGGACATGGAGAACAGTTCGCCCTGTTGAGGGCGAATGTTCAGAAAGCGCACGCATGTGTCAGCCCATGGGGCCCATGAACAACCCTGAATGTCTCAGCTTCTGTGGGTGTGAAGCCTCGGAACCCAGGGAGACACCGCATGTACCACACACCGAAGAGATGCATCCTTCGTGTTTCGCGCTTCTTGCCCAGTCGAGCAGTGGGGACCGAAGTCCGAATCAACAGGAGGGGCACTGGCGGACCTGGCGGACCTCCTGGCCTCACTGAGGCAGCGACCATCACTGCCACGGAGAAATCCGTGGTTTTCGTGACTGCACGACATCAGTTCAAGGACTGGACCGTGATTCTGGCCGGAATGTGAAGCGTAGGTCCGTAGGTTGAGGACCTCTACAACTCCGTAAAAACAGATGGACATCTTAGGATGAAAGGACAGCAGGAAGGAACGTTATATTACAGTGTTGCAGGATATGATTTGTGCGGCGATTGCAGCCAGCATTGAGGAAAAGGATTCCATTGCCTATCATGTCATCTCATTCCTGGCACCCGCCTTTTTGCACGTTCGGGGTTCCTGGTTCCGCTGGTGGTGGTGGTGGTTCCTTCTTTTGCTCCGGTCAGAAAGCAGGAGATCTTGCTGAAGGCCAACGAAGAAGAGACCAAGCAGAATCTCAACTACGTCGGTCGCTGCGAAGTGCCACTTGACACCGATTCGGTGCCACCCTGGGCCTTGCGTCAGGCACTTGGGTGAGTCAGGCACCAAGTGTAATTCCTCTGAGATCTCCTGTGCCAGGTTAACCGTTTTCCAGGAGTCACAAACAGGTGGTGTTTGGTCCCCAAGTGAGTGGATAATGGGCACACCTAACCTCCATGGATCGCACCCCTTTGTGACTGCTGGTTGTTTGTGTTCTTTTTTCCGGACAGGTTGCTGTTGGAATGAAGTGAGACGGTTGAGCTATGGAGTTGATTTGTCGAAGGAGGCGCAGAAGATGAAGCACAGCGAGAAGGTCCTAGGAAGGTCCAATCTCAGGCGACAAATCGAAAGACAAATCCCAAGGAAGATCCGGATTGAAGTGTGCTTAAGCAGCACTTTTTGTGCACAGTGTGATGCTGTTTCTCGAGCAAGCCGAGGGCAGGGGAGAGGTACCCTCAAGATTCGATTTCACGAGCCAACTTTGGATGATCTTGTTTCCCAGCGTCCAATGGCTGAGGTTCGAAGCAGCCCTCAAGGATTCTGAGAAGAAGGAGCGCTGGGGACTGGAGATGAAAGATGCTCCAGCGGTCAAAGAGCACTAAGAATCCGGACAAGATGCCTTCGCTGAGCATCGTTTCTGCTCACGGTCACCCGCCATGGGTGCACCCCAGGTTTGCCTTGAGGGAAAGGAATTGATTTGGGATGTATGTTCGACGTACTGTATTTCTACCATACTCCTGATATCTCCTGATTCAACCACTCGTGAGGGAGTTCACTGGCATATCTTTCTGCAATCAGTCCAGGCTTTCATGGGTTTAATGGTGTGGCCGAGCCCTTTTCGGGCCCGTTGAGGAGCTCGCCATGGCCATGCTCGAGATGACCTTCAGCAAGGATGAGACCATTTTCGAGCAGGGAGTTACTTGGAGTTGGTGAGATTTCAGTTGGCTAGGTGCCACATCCGTGATTGTAGAAGGCAGCGGCACAAGCCGACCCTCCCAACCAAAGTCGCTTTGGAGTCATTCGGCAGGGCCACAGTTACTGTGATAGATGGAGACTCGATGGAGAGCCAAGTACTTAAGCCTACTGCATGACTCTGACAAACAATTCTCCTTCCTTCCAATCCTGCACTGTTTTCATAGAGGCCGTTACAGTGAAGATGGGCCCAGACAGTGTCCGCTCATGATATCCTCCGGAAACGAAGAGGCTAGCCAGGCGCGCCAGCATCAATACTGAAAATCCGGCCCTAGGAAGTGGGCACACAGTTCTTCTTGCTCATCGAGGGCTCGGTGAACGTGATCAAGGATGGCAAGGCGAGCTACTCTAAATACACTCCATGAGACCATAAGGCATGGTGTTTGGTCTATTTGGGCTATTTTGTATTTATCCGGTGGAACTAGTATGTCAGCTATATATATATATGGAGTGTTTCTACTTCGGTCCAATTCAAGTGTTCCAGACTCCTCCCCGAACTCCGTGTGTCTTTTTTCGGCCTTTGGATCAGCTCCGAACCACCCGCGGCATTTGGGGGCCATCCCGACTCCAGCGGCTCATGGCGGAGTGGTGTGGACCGGTGTGGACCAGTGAGGACCGGTGGTCGCGCCAGGAAGTCGCCAGCTTGAAGGCCACGGCGGACAAAGCCCCCTACTTCGGAGAGAAGGCGCCCGGCCTACTTGGGGCGTGAGCTAACCCATGACGTCGTCGAGCCCCCATGACAAGCAAGTAACACATCAAGTAACCCACAGAAACGTGGATCCGCATGGCGACCGTGAGGGGCCTTTTTTGGGTGGTTTCGTATGATTTCATGAAAGGGACTCCGATTAAGTGACTGTTCCAGTCCCATCGATGGTCTGGGTTGCTCTATTAAGAATTTCTTGGAGACCTTGGGGACCGTGCTGTGACATTGAATGAATTGCATCACATATTATCATATCATGACGCTGTGAGTTTTCACGCGGATGAATTTGGTTTGGTGGTTTTTGTGTTTGTGGGTTTTGGACCCCACTTTCTGGTGGTGTGGAAGGGGCTCATTACGGAGCTGGGGGTACTAGGGCCCTAGGACTCCAAGTACCATCTCAAAAGGTATTGAGACCACTGAAACCAATCCCAAAAGGAGGTATACTTGGAGTGCTTGGGTGTTTGGTTGTATGACATGTTGGAATGCCCACCAATTAGGCCATTGGCCCTGGAATCCGCCTGCTTTCCTATTGATCAGATGGGGGAGAAACTACCAAGCAATCCAGATACTATAGATTTTGCATTATTGCCGGATCTTCCTGTTGGGCACCCGGTGGAGGTCCATGAGTATAGTGTAGGGGCTTCTCGCCAGGTGACCCCAAATGGAAGGTGGCAGGCAATAAAAGTGCAATTTATGTTTTGAAGCACAGGAGCCACATGGGCAGCCTGAACTCCAGTCGCACTTTAGACACAGGATTGGGACATGCATCCAGTTGCATGCTCCGCAGTACCAGCAACTGTTTTCCCTGCCAAGGTCAGGACTTAATGATGGCTAAGGGGCTCTGATGTGCTCGTGAAAGACGACCTACCATGTTAAGTTGCTTGAGTTTAGTGCTTTTGCTCGCAAGAAGTGTTTTGCACCAATGTTATTTGGAAAAAATGAAAGAAGTGTTTTGGTGTTTCCGTGGCCAAGTCTTAAAACACTTGCACAACCAATAACCATTCGACCCTTCTTCTCACCCTCAATACCCTGAAACACTACAGCCATCAGTCACAAATTCCCAAAGCGTAAGCACCAAATGCCGTTTTTTTAACAAAAAAATGTAAGCAGTCTCACTAATCCAAAGATCAGCTCTTCTTGAACAGCTTTCGCAGGTCTTCAAACAAACTTCCTACAAAGTGTTTACAAAGTTTTGGATCTTTACAAAAATTTGACAAAGTTTTGGAATTACAATTTTTTACCGAGTTGTTGCATTACAAAGTTTTAACAAAGTCTACAAAGTTTAAAGATAGAAATAACAAACTTCACAAAGTTTTTGGACACTTACAGTACATTGAATTTTACAAAACTTTGGAACTACGAAGTTTTTACAAGGTATTGAACCTTTAGATATCTGAACAAAGCTTTGGACATTTATCAAGCTTTGAACAAGTTTTGGAATTTTACAAAGTTGTTACCAAGTTATTGAGTTTGAAATTTTTTACAAAGCTTTTACAAAAGTTTTTGATGCTTACAAACTTTCTACAAAGTTTCGGTTTTTTCAATCTGTGTCAAAACTTTGTAAACTTTACTATTTGAAAACTTTGCAAAACGTTGTAAACTTTGTAAGAACTTTGTAAATACTTTGTAAACTTTGTAAAAGCTGTGTAAGCTTTGTAGAAACTTTGGTGAAATTCTAAAACTTTGTAAACTTTCAAAACTCTGCAACAACTGTGTAAAGATTGAACAAATTTTGCAAACTTTGTCAAAACTTCGTAAACTGTTGTAAAAATTGTAAACTTTTTAAACACTGAAACACTTTAAACTTCGTAAACCTTTGTAAAAACTTTGTACACTTTGTAAAACTGTGTAAAAAACTGCGAAAACTTTGTGTAAAAAATTGTAAAATGCGAAAACTTTGTCAAAACTTTGTAAAACACTTGTAAACTTTGTCAAAACTTTGTGAACTTTGTCAAAAAGTTTGTAAACATTGCAAACTTTGTACACTTTGTACTAACATTTTGTAAACTTTGTAAAACTTTTTTAGATGTTGTAGGCCTTCGTAAACTCTATTTAAAAAAAGACCGTTATAAACTTCGTAGCACTTTGCAAACTTTGTAAAACGTTTTTAAACTTCGTAAACTTTGTCAAAGCATTGTAAACATTTTGAAAGACCTTGTGAACGTTGTGAAAACTTTGTAAACTTTGAACACTTTGTAAATTTCCTCAAAACTTTGTACAAATTGTGAAACTATACAAACTTTGTAAAAACTTTGTAAAATGTAGAAAGAAACTTTGTAAACTTTGCAAATAAATAAACTATCAAAACTTTGTAATTGTTGTCAAAACTTTGTAAACTTTGTCGAAACTCTGTAAACTTTGCAAAACTTCGTAAACTTGGCAAAATCTTTGTGAACTTTCCAAAATCTTCAAAACTTTGTAAACGTTGTAAAAACTTTGTAAGTTTGTGTAACAAAAGGCAAATGTCGCAAACTTTGTCAGAACGTTGTAAACTTTGTAAAAACTTTGTAGACTTTGTAAAAACTGTGTAAACTATGTAAACTTTGTAAAAACTTTGTAAAACTTTGTAAAGTTCTGTGAAAGAAGTGTTTTTGCACGATTTTTTAATTGAAAAGAAGTGTTTTTCATGTCATTTGTTGTAAACATAAGTGTTTTTCACCAGCCATTTGCAAACTTTGTAAAAACTTTGTAAACTTTGTAAAAACTTTGTAAACTTTGTAAAAACTTGGTAAAAACTTTGTAAAAACTTTGTAAACTTTGTAAAAACTTTGTAAAAACTTTGTAAAAACCTTGTAAACTGTGTAAACACTTTGTAAACTTTGTAAAAACCTTGTAAACTGTGTAAAAACTTTGTAAACTTTGTAAAAACTTTGTAAACTTGAAAAAGCTGTTGTAAACTTTGTAAAAACGTTGTACAACTTTGTAAACTTTGTAAAAACTTTGAAAACTTTGTAAACACTTTGTGAGACTTTGTAGACTCTGTAAAAATTGAAAAACTGTGAAAATTCCAAACTTTGCAAGAACTTTGTCAAATTCCAAAGCTTTCTAAAATCGTTGTAAACTTTCAATGCTGTGCAAAAACTCTGTAAACTGTATAAACTTTGCAACTTTTGTGAAAGCTTTGTAAACTATGTAAAGTTTGCAAATGTTTGTACACTTTGAAAAAACTCCATGTAAAATTGTAAAAATTGCTATCTTTGTAAAGATTTTATAAACTTTGTACAAGCTTTGTAAACTTTCAAAACTTTGCAAAACTGTGTAAACTTTGTAAAAACTTTGTCAACATTGCAGCAACATTGTAAAACTTTCAATACGTCTTTAATTGATTTTTTAATGGTAAAACCTTTGTAAACTGGGTAAACTTTGGATATTGTTCAAAACTTTGTAAACTGTGTTAAAATATTGTAAACTTTGTAAAACTTTGTAAACTTGGTAAGCGGTTGTAAAACTTTCAAAACTTTGCAAACTTCATAAAAACTGTGTAAAACTTTGTAAACTATGTACCAACTTTGAAAGCTTTGTAAAAACGTAGTGAACTTGGTATAAACTTGGTAAACTTTGTCAACACTTTGTAGACTTTGTAAAACATTTTTAAACTTTGTCAAACTTTGTAAGCTTTGTCAACCTTTAAACTTGTAAAACTGTGTAAGAACTTGGTAAAACTTTATTAAGACGTTGTAAAATTCGCAAACTTTGTAAAAAGGTTTACAAACCTTTTACGAAGTTTTGGAGTTCTTCAAATTATTCTTCAAAGTTAGAGCAACGTTTTACACAGTTTTTAGAACGTTTACAAAGTTTTGTATTTTTACAAAGTTATACAAAGTTTACAAAGCTTTCACAAAGTCTTAAGAATTTGTACAAAGTTTGCAACTTTTGCAAAGAGTTGACAGAGTTGTTGAATTACAAACAAACTTACAAAGGTTTACAACGTCTACAAAGCTTTTACCATGGCCGTTCACTCACCACTCACGAGACAAACAAATCTATGAAATAGTCCTTTGGGTCTCGTATGTTGCCACTAACAACGCAAAAAAAACAAGACGTGTTTTATACCCTCTCTTAGTTCTGAACCAATTCTTCAGAGGTCCGCAAGGGTCAAAAACACTTCTTCTGCGCTAATTCCCCCGAAACAACGAACGACGGTCCCCAAGCAACTTAACAACCTACCAGATCTACCAGCACCCTCCAACAGGTCTCTCTTTTGCTTGTCTGGAGTTTATTTGAAGATCTTAAAGGTGCTATATTATTGCTGTATGACCTACATGATCTATACGGTCTTTTGGCACTGTGGCCCGTCTCCGTCTCCGTCTCCCTCTAGGCCTTGGAGAACAAGGAGCCTCGCGCCGCGACGGTGAAGGTGACCTCCAACACGGCCAGAACGTGCCTTCGGCACCGCGCACGACTCGCGCCGCGTGCGCGGCACTCGCGGCACTCGGAGCGGGGAGAGAGGGGGCCTAGGGATGTGATGGATACTGTGATGAATGCGAGCTGAGCTGAACTTATGGGGTGTTGGCAATGAGGGGTTTCGAAAGGTTTCGAGGACTGGAGGCATGACACTGCCAAGTATGGGCATTGCCTGAATACATGCCATTTACTTATATACTTTAAGGGTTGGACATTGGCAAATTGGCATCTTGGTTGGAGTAAAGGAATTTGGAGCTGCAGAATGGCCCTTCCATGCTCCAAATGCCATGAAAACAGAATGCAGTGACTGCAGTGACTTGTGACATGTAGACTGCTTTGCCGCGACTCCGAGCCAACCATCGCCATGACGTAGAGCCACGGTCAGACTCATAGGTAGAGCAACGCGGACTTGTTCAACTGAGCGGACTACAAGTGGCTAGAGAGACGAGATCGAAACCTGATGAAGAGAAGAAACCTGACGATCACACCCGCACCTGGGTAAGAACACGTCCACATCCATCCACTATTCAAGCCCTCCTACACCTGTTCACAGTCCCTCCTTGATTCCAGCTATAGGTCTTAGGGGGAGGAGAAGAAAAAAGAGCATCACACGTCTCGCAGCGCGTGAGACGAGATGTCAGACTCACTCCGATTCGCAAACAACGTCCACGCCGACCTGGCTCGCCTGTGGCTCGTCTGAGGCTCTTTGTGGATCAAGATACCTTCGAGGTGGGGGGCCCAGTCAGTTGAAGGCGACGTAGAGACTGCATTCATCTGGTGAGGATCAGGTGATTTTATTCCCTACGGCCCCTACGGTGAAATCCCCTTCTTGGGAATATGTTTGGTCTAGGTGCCTTAGGGAAATCCAGTGGGACACGGTGCTGTTGGCTAAGCGAAACAGAACACCTCGCCTTTATGAAGCTGAAGAGTGGGGAATGACAGTGATAGGAGACCGAAACCCAAATCACCGGAATGTGGAATGGCGCACGTCGTCTCACCGCAACAAATTTCCAGATGTTGTAGATTTATTGTCCACCGAATCTTTGGAAAACAATACGTGCATGGGAAACTCAAAGAACAGTCTGAATACTAAACCTGTAGATCATAGACAGATAATCTAAAATATACCTTCTTAACAACTTCTTTGGAGGAACCGCCACAAAAATACCAAACATACCAAAAATTCCAAAGACCTACAGAAAATACCAAACATACCAAAAATACAAAAAAAATCCAAATCCTCTGGAGACATATAGGCCACCTGAGTGGAATTTCCTCTAGGTCTTTGGTATTTTTGGTATTTCCTCTTGGTATTTTTGGTATGTCTTTGGTATGTTTGGTATTTTTTTTATTTTTGGTATTTCCTGTAGGTCTTTGGTATTTTTGGTATTTCCTGTAGGTCTTTGGATGTCTTTGGTATTTGTGTTTATTGTTTAGTATTTTTGGTATTTTTTGTATTCACATATTCTCCTGTGCATAGGAAATACTTAAAACTTTTAGATGTTCCTTTGCATAAGAAACACTGAAAAATACACGCTCACAGCGCTGGTTTCTACCCCCAAAACCACCTCAATGTATATAGGTAAATATGCCATACATGGAGTGCCTGGGTATGCATCAGCGATCCCCCTGGTGTCCCCATCGCCTGGCAGATGAGGCATCGGTCTCGATCTCCCCCATGGTCTGCCCGGGTCGCCTCGAGGCGGTGCTGGGCTCCTTGACGGAGCTGGTGAAGCGCGGGAAGGATGGCACCACGGTGGTGAGCAAGGTGCCGCGCAAGACGGCCGCCGCCGCTCGGAGGAGATGCCGGGGGTTCCTTGAGCTCGGCGGCTGAGCTGGGGCGACGATTTAGCTGAGCTGAACGGAAAATGGTGGAAACATGGGATGAGGATGAGAAGATGGATCTCATCATGTGCTGTCTCTTTTTGTTGATTTGCATCCGCGCAGATGCTCAATGAAAATTGGTGTTGGATGGGCATGAACATGTCACATGTTCTCAGGAAGCAAATAGTAGAGGATTTGTCATCCATTCGCCTCGCTTCTCCAGTGAGTTGCTTGTTGGTTGAGCAGCTTGAGCATGACAGGATGTATCAGGTGGGTCAAAATGGTTCTGGCACCCAGAAACGACAGATCTTTCTTGGAGGTTTGATGTTCTAGGCCTCTAAAAAACATGTTTGGACTTCATACACCAGCCACAAGCTGGACGCTTCGACCACTTTGGCGCCCCACTCTCTCTATCTGCGGACCGGACCAAGGACACGAAGCGCTTCGGCGTGATCAAGTTCAAGGACCTCAAGAAGTTTCTTGGAAGGACCTGAGATGACCTGACGCAACCTGTAACCCATGGGCGGCGCCCGAGGCGGACTAGGTTGGACCCGTTCACTCTCAGTGGTGGACTTCACTCTCCGGGGTCAAAGGAGATCTCCCAGTTGTGGCCCGTAGCCATATGACCTGACTTGACCTGATATGATGCCCTGGAAGACTTCACAGAACAATTCTTGAACATGCATGAAGAACATGCGTGTGATGGATGTGTCTTTGAACTTTGAACCTACCATTTCCCAACATCAACACTAAATTATAAGGATGGCTAGGGTGTCTCCCAGTAAACCAATCACAGTTGGTAGACAATGATCACTCTTTTTGGGAAAGGCCTGCAACCTAAGCATCATCAGCAATTGGTATGGGGTATACCGGAATGACCTGATATGTCCTGACTTCACCTGATGTCATCTTCACCAGACCGGTCCAGTGATTCGAAACGGGATCGTCATAGGTGCACCAGATGAACCGGGGGGGCCCTGAAGCCGAAGTCGCCCTGAAACTCACAAGCTGGATGATTAGCCATTCAGTCGTGGGAACTGCAGCAAGTTGACCTGGGTCTTGGCTTTTGCATGGTCTGCCGGCACAAAGAACTTGGGTTGGCAATTTGTTGAAATTATGTTTGGGCGGTTTATGGGATTTGCTGAACCAATTCTTGGTCTGTGAGATGAACATGAGATGTGGGTGCAATAGCCGCTGCCGCAACTGTGATGACAACGGCAAGACATGAGAAACGTTGTTTGCATTCCTTGGGCCCTCCAACGCCACGCAAATCCACTGAGCCACAACTTGTTTAATACTTTTTTCTTTAAATATCCATGTCCATCCACTGAGCCATGACAAGATAGTGGCACACAGTGCTAAGCATGAATTCCACAAAGTTCAACCAATAAATTTCCAGCCACACTCTCATCCAAAACAACTATGGTATCTCATGATTCCAGATGCATGATCATGAAATCATCATGAAATCCTCATGATGTTCTTTAACCGAACATATGTTTAAAGAAATCCTTAAAAGCAATGTGGTCTTAAAGGCAAGAAGGAGTGCCATGACGTGCCGGACCTTCAAACATGCTGACCTCCCTCCCTCCCCTCTCAGGCTGGGCCTGTTGGGCTGCGGCGGCTTCGGGGCCGTAGAGCTGGTTGAAGAGACCAAGAACGGAAACATGCCGCTTGGAGCGAGGTACGGGATGGACGGTGAAGTCATGACCAGTGGTTTGCAGACGTTGTTCTAGGTTGCAGAAGTTGCATCCAATGATGTTGTTTTGCTTTTCATTTATGAATATGGGGGGTCCTTCTAAACCACCGACCTTGGGGAGTGGGCCATCTACTCTGAAACCACTGCTAATGCGTCGTCGCACGTCGTAAGAAGGCTACCGGGTTCATTGAAGGATCCCAAAATTTTGCCAACTCCACATGGAAGGACTTTTGACCCCCAAACGATCCAAAAATTCTTGCCAACCCCACTCGGGGAAAGGTTTTCTTCCCACATACTCCAACAAGGATGAACAAAAAGAAAGGGCTGAGGTTGTGATAGGTTGTGTATAAAGGACACTTGGCATTTTCCTGACCATTGTCAGTTCTTGACGTTGGCCCTCACAGCTGACGCTAGTCACAGCGAGTTTCGTGCCAGATGGATACAGAGTGTTTCTTTGAGGAAACATTGGGAGACGGCTGTAAGAACCGGACGCTGGAATACCGGTTCATGTTCTAGTGATTCTAGTGCTCAGTGACCGGATATATCGTTACCTATAGGTTAATGTCAACATAGGATTAACCAACCCCCCCCTATTAGTCTACCCAGCGTTCAGGCCCCAATAATAAACTAATTTGAACTACTAATTTCCACAGTCACCACCACCCTCTAATAAAAATTTTGCTTGGCTGAAACCCCCCCTATTAGTCTACCCCCTGTCCCCCCTCGAAAAATATAAATATTCCAATATATATGTGTTTAATCCAGTTGGCATGGCTCTGATCTCTCAGATCTCTCATCAAATTTGTGCCAATAAGCTCTCATGGATCTCATGATGAAAGGGAATTAGTATTATTTGGGCTCTCATGGATCTCATCATTCCATCCCATCTCATCTCCTCCTCCTGTCATCATCAGGTCATCCCACTATTAGGGGGATGTGATCTCCAAAACCTCCAATCTCAGACCTTGTTGACCTTCTAGGGGGGGGGGGGCCCGTTGATTAATCCGACGTCGCCATTACCTTCTCTTGGTTTAGCTCGTGATGTTGCCTTCGATTGCAGTATTCCCTAGTAATCCTGGCCAGTGGAACCAGTGTTTCCCTTGAGAGAAACACCTTGGCTGGCGTTTTTGGGAATCCAACCAATCACCGTCCAAGGTACGCCTTGAAACAGCTCAGCAAGGGATTCGCCACTCAGCTTTGCATCCGACTCGGACCTGGACCGGTCCACAGGGCCTCTCCGAACACGTCGGGGGCGGGCGCCACGTGGACCTGGCGCCCGGACGGACCGGGTTTTGGCCTCGTGAAAACCGGCTCCAAGTGCTTTCACCTTTGTCGGAGTATGGGACTGGCTCATCGGAGATCGACGAGACACCCCAAACCGCCCCCATGTCCCCATCGTCGTGCAACCGGCAACCAACGGACCACTGGAACATACTGGCATCAGCATGACTCAAAGGAGGAAAGAGGAGAACAGTGACCCTTCTTATCTCTTATCCATTTTTCCTATGAAGATACTAGACTATGAAGATAGCTGCAGTACTCTGTATCTAATATGATTTTTGTATATGTTTGTCATTTGCAATATGTCCATCAACCTCGTAAAATGCGCTCCAGAAGTGCCAGTGAGCCCTCAGGTGATGAAGAGTGGTATGCAGCAGAGCGTCATGAGCGAGAAGAACGTGCAGCTGAAACCCGGTGACATCGAAATCCCACCTAGTTTGGACCCACCAAGTAGTGGAGGGGTATATGTATCGGATAGGTCGTATCCATTCAGACACGACACAGGTTTGGGAGCGGACGGGCACCTGTTTTCATACAGGATTTGCTTGGAACAAGGGGGTGGTCAATGTAGGCATATACATGTTATGGACATTATTTGGCTGTCAACGCATTGGTCGACTCTGGCCCAGCTTGGTCTAAGTATGCCAATCCGGATTTCCATGCTTTGCCTATTGACGCAGTGTTTGCAGCATTGGAAGATGCGTGCGGCAGTTGCAACCATGGCAAACATTGATATCAAAACGGAATTGTTGGCTCAAAACTTCTGGAGTTTGGTTTGCAGCGTACTTTCATGCACCCCCGGCCTTCCAAAGCTTTCAGCGAGAAGTCCATCCAATTGTGTAATCCAATGTCTCTTAAATGAGATGAGGGAAGTTCCATTCTACCCTGAATTCTGACAATTGCTCCTACCCAGTCAGTGGATAACCTTTAGCCACTAAAGAATCCAGGGAAACTGAGAGTGAATGCTCGCTTTGACACATATGCAAGTCTTTGGCTTGCCACATCTTGCCACCCTTCAAAAGGCACGCTCTTTGCCATGCCTAAGGATGTGCGACTCGCCCTTTGTCGTGAAGCTCTACGAGACCTACAACAGCACCTTGGAATCAGTGCTGACACGGCTGTGGCTGGTGAGGTTGGAGGATTCGGGAATCTTAAGGTGCAAACCAGCTGTGTTCCATCCCGGCAGGTGAAAATGATGACCTGGAGGAGGGTCTTTCTACCTTTTTTTCTGAAAAAAGGCCACGCGAGGCTGAGGACACGTGTGTTGGCTTTATCAGTTCCCTTTGTGCTCGCACGAGGCCCAGAGCACCTCTACTTGCTCTTGGAGTTGGCTTTGGGTGGCGAACTTTACGCCACGTCGCTCGGAGCGAAGCTGTGAGACCCATGGGCCCATGGACATCCGAACTCTGCCGTGTAACTGGTTGTTGTGTGCTCTCTTTTTGCGAAGTGCCGTGTTGAGAAGACAAATCTCCGTCAAATAGGGGTGATGTCCATTTTCTACGATGTTCTACATATGTTCGATGATACTTGAAGTGACCAGGCGGCCTGGCAGTTGTTTTTTGGTCTGTTGCTGGAGGCCATCTGGGTCCAGTTCTTGCACTGAGGTACAACAAGCGCAACATGTGGGGCAACGAGCCCTGCGCCAAGTTCTACGTCGCTGGCACCGTTTTCGCCTTCGAGCACTTGCATTCCAAGAAGAACCTCCGATCAAATCGGGTGCGTTTGGTGGTTTTCTCCAGGGAAGGTCTACTGAGATGACTGAGGAAATGCATGATGCTGGGTACATTCTATAATTACACAAATTATGGTTGAAGATCATCAGGTGATTGTCCAGGATTTTGCAAGCTCTGAAGTGTTGGAATTCTCCATCCAAAATAGGAAGCTGGCAAACATATATTTTTGATGATTTTTGCGTGGAACCCTGCCACGTAGGAGATCTGGATTTCCCCAAAATAGCACTTCTCATGTCAACAACCCTGGTCAACCATGCTACTACCCCTCCACAATGCCTCTTACTGCCTCTATCTCATTTCCAGCGCATGTCACGGAGTCATTTGTTTTGAAGTCGGGATCGTCCGTTTTGGGATGGTTTCGTCGAGCTTCATGGCACCAGGATCGTCTTCCGTGATCTCAAGCCAGAGAATTTGCTGCTCACAGACCAGGGAAGGGTTAAGCTCACGGACATGGGCTTGGCCAAGGTGATCTTCGGCCACTTGCAGAAAGGATGTGGCTCGCGAGGGTGGCGAGCGGGCGTGAAGGTGGAGTTATCAGGAGTGGATCGGCCTACTGATCGGCCTTAATATACATTGATGGATCAACCAAAAAGGTTTGGGAAAAGGGTTCAGACCTGAACTCTTCATGCCCAGTCAACATGGTAAGTATTCGAGACCAGGCGAACGCACGACACTTGGTCCGCACGCACGAACGTGCGTACCAGCATGCGTGCCCAACTGTTGCTCGGACTGAGGGAAGACCTACACCACTTGCGGCACCCCCGACTACTTCGCCCCCGAGCTGATTGCATCCAAGGGCCACGGGCCTCTTGGCTGCAGTTGCAGGTGTCCAGTCGAGCCCAGCAAAGCCAGCACAAAGCCCCTTTTCAAGGATGAAGCATGAAAGGCTTGTTTGGCTCACTCCAAAGAATTGGTCGATGAGGTTTGATGTGATTTGATGTAATTGGACCATTCTCAGAGAAGCTGCTTCCAGGATTCTCAAGCTTTACTCTTGTTTCTTCCGAGTGCCATGTTTCAGATGGATTTTGAGGCCCTTTGTAGTGACCAAACACGCGTAAGTTGGATTTTAGTAAGTTGGACGTTTGGTTTTTTCATGAGTGATAGGATTTTCCTCAAACCTGCTCATGGAACCAAGTAGAAGGGAGACGAGTGTCGGAGACGAGTGTCTCACCTACCTTGACATACATGCCGAGAAGCTGAGTGACCTTTGTGTCGGATCACCAAGCTCATGCAACCACCGCCTTGTCCAATCAAGACAGAAGTCAATTGGGCTCTGGGTGGAATGTTTGAATCGATATTCAGCTTGGTAAAAATCGATTTGCTGGCAGAAAGTAGCCTTCCCCAGCTGAGGGCTCTCAGCAGGATGCGGAAGCTGTGTGCTCCAATGATTCGCCCATTGTGATCTATTTGTTATTTTGCTTTAGGAGACGTTGAGCAGATGTTGATTGATAACTGTGAGTGGGTTGAACATGCTTTGCAACTCGCAGGGGGTGATCAACATGAGATGACTTCACTTTTTCCTCAGTTTTGGATCTAATGGTGCAAACCGCAAACCCAAGGGATGATAGGATCCACTGTTTGCCTGGAATCGGATTGGGGGATCAAGCTACGCATAGCTAAACGCCCGTGCGCAAAAAAGAACGCCAACGAAAAGTACATATCATATTGTTCAACTTCTTGTCTCATTCCCAGACACTCCATGTATGGCATATTTACATACTCATTGACCCCTCAAACCACCTCAATGTAGGTAAATATGGCAGTCCCATGGAGTGTTTGGGATGATTTTGACTGGACTGAAGGTTGCAGGAAATGCCTGAAGGTTGCCGGGTCACCAAGTTAGACTCATTCCTTTGGACCTTTCAGGGCGCCAGACCAGGCAGACCACAAAGCTGGGTCTGAGCCTTGGGGTCTTCGGGGCGGAGCTCCAGGTTTGCTGTGGACTGGTGGACCTTGGGCGTGCTGACCTTCGAGCTCATGTCAGGACCGCGCGCGCGGTAGTGGACTGGAACCCACCACAGGCCTCCAGTTTTCCAACCTTCCTCACAAGGTGTGATTGGACCCGGCACCTACCCCAGTCCCACCTTGGAGAGGGATGTATATACTACTCGAGCTCCTGGCTGTCGAATCTACTCCGTCCCGAATGCGAAAGCGAAGGCGAAGGCGAATGCAAATGCTGGACGTGGTGGTGTCATTCGTAGATCGGTGTCGCTTCGGTTTCGACAAACCCTTGTATTGATCTATTCATGTTCTCATTTCCGGCACAAGCCTTAGCCTTCGCGTAAGACTCGGCGTCCTGCGAACTTCATTGGGCCCATTTGGGCCCCAGCGTTGCTGCAACAACAAGACCAGCACCCTCCACATCCGGTGCTTTTGGGACCCGGAAACACCTAACAAGAGATGTTTGGGGGCACATCTTGCCACCAGGAAACACCTCTTGCCATGGAGGGTCCAGGTAGTGATTTGGTTGGGAAGATCCTCCGAAACCTGGTGACCATGCGAGTTTGGGGCATGATCCTGTCTCGCTTTTCGGGGTGGCACTTAGTAGCTCAGTAGCTCCTTCCCGAAATTCAAGCAACTCCAGTTGGGGGCTTTGTGTTTCATTCAGCTCAACACCACCGACTCTGGAGCCCCGGTTGGGGGCGAGCGACGGGAACCAGGACACCCTCCATTCGAGTCTGCCACCCCCATGCAGATCTACGCCAAGGTGGGGAGTCAGCTGGAGTGGGTGAGCAGAGATGGTTGACTCACGACTCACCACACGTGTGAAGAGACCCACATGGAACCTGAGTCTACTAAACGCCCGGTTGAGTAGAGGAACGTTACTTTTTGTTGCAGTTTGGTCCATTTTCAGGTTCCATGTGAATCTTCCTGAGTGTAACCAGGTTCTTAGATGTGTCATGACATGTTTGACTGCAAATGATGAACTTGACTTATAGTGATTGGTACCTCTTTGGTCAAACTTTGGTCTATTTTTAACTATTTAACTAACAAATGAAGAGAACCAGACCTGCCTCTTTCCTGATGCTGGCCCTACAACATTTGCATATGGTCGACCCACTTTCTGTGTTTGGATCGTATATTCAGGGAATCACTTATTGTGATACGTCGGGTCCGGTTTCCTGATTGACAGCATGCTCAATCAATGTTTCTGCTGGATGATGGAACGGGAAGGCAGAACTTTCACGATGGGCTCCAAAGCACTTGCCCCTACAGAACCTTCGCCATGATTCTCCGGCAAGTCACTAATTGACACATTTGGGAACAACCCTCTTTACAACATCCAGTTGCAGTTGTTGTGAGCTGCAGGGACATCAGTAGGATTCGCAGTGCGTCTTAGAATTTTTGGTTTCGGTGGCGTGGTCATGGATTTATTGAGTTTGTTGGTGTTTGCCTGGTTTCTTCTCAGCGTGGGTCCAGGTGATCATGTGGACGAATCAGTTTCCAATAGTTTTCATGATTTTCCACTTTCCAAGAGCAACTTGAAGAACCCAGCAAGGAGATGCAAGGGGATCCCTTTTGTGCTTCCTTTGTGGGTGCGAAGATTGATGGGTGACTCAAACAGCGCAAAGTTGGGTCGAACTCTTCGGATTCTTGGGATGAATCACACACCTTGTCACGCACACCGTTGACATTTCTAAGGTTTTTGACGTCGAACACCGAACTCCGGGGTGCGCACACCGTGTCGCACACCGGCGAACTCCCGGTCCCGCACCAGGTGCAGAAGGGTATCAACACAGTGACCTTCCCCAAGAAACTCAAGGGAGATGTCGAGGTGATGGCCACTTGGTCGACCCGCTGTCGATTCCGAAGCGCCGAAGGCTGCTGCGGACATCGCATGTTTTTTTGCATGGTGTGTTGGTTCGCGAGCTTTGCGAGCCGCACCTGCTACCCGCAGGGTCGTAGCAGGGAGAAGGAAGTTCGGTGACCTGCGCTCCCAAAGGGCCTATAGATTGAAGAGAGGGGGGTGGGTCAGCCAGGGGCCAGTCATCCGCCGTCCGCGGCCGTGTCGTGTGGTTTTGCGAAAGAGTACACTCTCACCTGGTTGTGAGCAAGCCACAGCCAGGACCAGTATACACAGACAGCGTACATTTGATGTTATATAATTCCCTGAATCCACCCTTTCTGTGGTGGAATAAAATCCACAACTTGAATGAGTTTTTCAGATTCACAAGAGGAACCTCTCTATAAACACCATCAAACGTTTTTCTGACAAGACGGGTCATGATATATCCAAATTCCATCAATTGTTTACTTGGTTTGTTTGCCCGCTGAAGGTGCCAGAGTCAGGTGATGAATTCCTAACTACACTGAGGTCAAAGGTTTGTGCCACGCAAATCCAACCGAGCGCTTGCCAATGAAGAAAGGAGGCACGCCAAGGGGGGAGGAGGCCCAGAGCAGTGCAAGCAGTTGTGTTTTCTGTGGTGTGGTTTGATGGCTTCGGCGGATGGGATGCGAGTTTTGCGAGTTTCGTTGTTAGAGAATGATCCTCAAGACACAGCCGTCACCCGCGCATCCGCATCCGGCGGGAACGAGGCATTCAGAACGTAAAGAATCAGAAGTGGTTCAGCGGCTTCAGCTGGTCCGACATGGAATCTCTGAGCATGAAGGTCCCATATGTGCCCTGGATCTTGGAAGGTTGAATAGAGAGAGAGAGGGAGACGAAAAAGAATTGGGCACCTTGCACCAGCACCACGGACTCTATGCATATTCCATCGTAATAACCATCCTGACACCATGGTGCTGCTTGGCTCGATATCATTTTGCTCGGTTTTTCGTTGGGCAGATGATGGCAGATTTCAGAAAAGGTTCAATGGACCATCCTGACACCTCAGCCTTTTTGGAGGATGTTCCTCGCCCAGCCAGTGGTGTTGGGGTTTCTATAACAGCCTCCTTTGTCAGTGAAAAGGCTCCAAAACATCAAATTACCTCTCCACTAGGGCTCCAAGTACCTCCTTAGAAGGTATTTGGACCCTCTAAACCCACCCCAAACACCTTCTAAGAAGGTCCTTGGAGCCCTAGGGTTCATGCTACTGTAAATGCATGGTCAAAACGGTGGCATTTGAGACCCCAAGTGAGCTCGGTTTTCTGGGCAACCGACCTCCATCCTCCAACAAAAGCTTGCTTGGTGTTTTCGTGACTACCCTCCCAACAGTGGATCACGGGAGATCGTCCCCTATGCTCTCAAGTGCTGGGAAACAACCCTATGACTCAAAAGCATACTTTCTGGTAGGGATTATCCGACGGCCAGCTCAGACGTTTTTGAGACACAGAAAAGCGATTCCTTGCCTTTTCTACCCCTGCTGGGCTGGGGAGAGTTGCTTTGTTGCCCTGCTCCACCTCAATAACATTCAACAACTCTCAGAAACTTCAACAGCACCTCAATAACATGTAATTATGTACTGCATGGTGCATTCCCACATCAGAGTCTAATCAGGTTCCCATCAGCCAATGTGGAGTCTGGACCACCCGGCCCTTATCGTTTAGCGATGGTTTCAGACGCCGCAATAATGAAACCTCAACTTGCTGAGGGCATATGATTCGGTGTGTTTCTGGGACCCGTCACACAGGGTATAAGATGCTGACAGACAGAGGTGACTGCCAGGCGTTTTCACATGTTTTCACCATTTGGATTTAACATGATTTAAAGTGAGTTGTGGGTTTGTATGGTTTTGTGCTTGTGCTTCCTTTGGAATTGCATCTTAGCAGTTCAGCTACGCTACAGCCTTCAATCCGGTGTTCCAGATGAAGACAAACATCGGGCAGAACATGATCGCAAAAATCGCTGCTACCCACGTTTGGGGTTTGGCCCTCTCTCGGGGCTGAAGAGCGCGGGCCACCGACTGGAAGAGCACGGGATCCCCTCCGAGGCCCCCACAGTGAAGAGCAAGAAGGACATGAAGAACTTCAGCGCCAACAAGGAGGATATGCCCCCACAGGCGAGGAGATTTCTTGACGGTGCTTTGTTTTGGGGGGTTGATGCATGTAGCAATGAGTTGCACATGCGGCCACAGATGCTGTCTTCGACTTTTGCAAAGGAAAGGGCAAGGGTTGATGGATGGGTGAAAAGCCGGAGGAGCCGTCTTTTCCAGGATGCAGGATGACGGTAGCTTTTTTTCGGTGAGTGAAGTGTTTTGTAGTCACCCCTTGGTCAGGTCGACGTTACTGGTCATTGTCAAAACCATCAACTTCTGGCAGAGAAAAGAAAAAGGATTAAAAAAAAAAACAGGAACGCATTTCGATACTGTTTCTATCAGCACACCTAGATTCTATCCCATTGCCTGTAACAGTCGGTAAACAAGAACATCACTGTTTCAGAGAAAGTCCTTTTACTAACCATCATCATCTACTATTACTGGTTGTGGGATGGACCCAATTTATCATTTATAGTAAATCCATTTGGGGCTCCTGACATGCGTTCGATCCTGACTGCTTCCGCCACACATAGCCACACCACTCGCCCAGGTGCCCTACAAGGACCCCAAGACCGGCTGGGACAAGGACTTTGCCACCAGCGACTAAGGCGTCTTCGTGGCCGAAGGCCGTCTTCGTGGAGGTGGTCGTTCATCCACTATATAGTGGTCCCTAAATAGATACTGGCACGGTGTCCAATGCATGTTTAGTGGTGATCTACTTTTCTATCAAAGAATAGTACTACTTCTGTTATTTGTTCGACCAGTTGGTTTTCCAAACTTCCCTCAGGTGATGCGACTTTGGCGGTGAGGTTTGGTGTGTTTGGATAAGCTGTTTCGTGGCGTGGAACTGGTGATCCCAAACCCAAAGCATGACAACCCGCCCTGGCCCTCTTGTTTCACTTGTGACACCTTACAATGGGTGATCAACCATTGTCCCACACCTCCTTACCACATCTGAATACGCGGGATCTCATGTTGCCCAATCGAAACGCCGGCAAGAGGCGGTTGAAGATGAGCACTACGGAAGATCACGGATCTGGATGTGCGATTCTGGGTCAGTTTGCTTTCCTTGAACGCAGCTAAGTCTAAAATTGACTGATACTGCCTGCAGCGCAGCGCAATGGCGGAGAGGTTGGTCTTAGTAAAACAAGGCCACGGGGCAGATCAGATACAACCGTCCAAACCATACAGATACCATGGATTGTCGTTGATCCTGGAGACGTAAAGAAGTGGACAAAGGTGTTGTAGAATTACGATGAATTATTAGGTTACTGTATGTACTATAGAATCTTGTTTACATTGCAAACCCTGAAGCCTGAAGAGTCTTTACAACCCATGCCTGTTGGGTTGGTATTCATATGTATTCATTAAGATTATACATTACTGGGGTATTAGGCCCTTGCCTAAGAAGTGCCGCGCTTTTGGCTGTTGAACGCTGCAGACATCCTCATTTTGCCGTTTCACCCGGCGCTCCCTGATCGGATGACAAGGGATGGCCGATCACGAGGAGCTTTTCAGCATCCCAGTGCCTAACATTGCGCTGGCTAATTCGTAAGAGATACGCAGCTCTGAAACGACGCTGCTTGTGCCTCAGCTGAACTACATCTTGCATCCCTAGAAGCAAGAAGTCATCCTGGGAGTTGTTGAGCCGAGAAAGCATGCTGATCTTTTGGTACAGCATGCTTTCCAGGAAGATGATCATCATGCTTATCAACCAGGAAAGTTTCTTTTGGTATCTTTTATGATGATCTTAAACCTACTGTAAATGATACACCTTGCGGCAGCACAAATTCCCAGGTACATGGGTGGAACTCTCTCCGCAGTGAACTTGTTTAGTGGAGAGAGCTTCCGCTCGTGTTGGACTTAGCATCAATGAATGTATCAACGAGTGTATTTACCCGTAATTAGGCAATGTTTATTGCTTAAAAAGTCGAGCCACTCGAAGGACAAAGATATTGCTGTTGGATGCACGATCCTATACTTGTCTCAGATCTTTTTGAAGGTTTGGGACTCTGGCTGCACAATGCCTAGAGGCAGAGACTGACGCCAAAAAGGCCGACCCGTTGTGTTCGTTTTGCAGCACCTTGCGTAGATTCCTGCGATTCCTGTGATTGATACAGTATGTGATTCACGATCACTTTAGGTGCCCAACAGACACCTGGCCTGTATTACATACCCTTCCGTAAATACAGTGGGTGTTGGTTGGGGCTAATGAATAGCATCGAGAAGCTTAGCCTGATGATACTCTCAAATGATCTCAAAAAGGGGCACCCTTTCAATCTCGGCAGGTCAGTTGTGTTCAAGGCTTGAGGGAGGTTGAAGCCAAATCGAAGGAGATACCGTCAGACACATGGGTCCATGCATCCTGTAGATGGTCCAGATGGAAAACGGCAGGCTTACGCTCCCTGAAGCAATCATGGAAGTGGATGGCATATGATGGCATAACCTCTTGGAAGACTATTTTCCTCTCCTGAGACGGGGTTGTCCACTTCCATGATTGTTGCAGGGAGTGTATGTATGTCATGTTCCGCATGTGCCGACAGTCCAACACTGCAGGGACGAATGGCAGCAACTACTCTTGAAAGAGATCATGTGCGCCAGAGACGGGTCCCACAATTTGAACGACTTTGGAAACAGATTCCGACTTTTGGCAGGTGCTGAAGTGACTGAAGCGCTTTCATCTACAGCTTTCGGACTGAGCCCCCAAAACGTGCCTCGTAGCAAGCGGAAAGTCCGAGCAGCGTCAGTGCACTTCCAAGGCTTGCAGAGAGTGTCGTGGAGGCAGGCAATGAGATGCATGCTGGGGCCCTATGACCTTGAGGAACCGGCCTTTGATGGATTCCCCCTTGTTGAGACAGCCCCAGGAAGCGAATTGTTCACCAATCAAATGGCGTGTCCCTCCATATCCGTCCCCAATGAACTCCAACCAGGACCAAAGGCAACTTGGCATGGAGTTTTAGCCCTTCAAAGCCTCCAATCTGTAAGTTGATGCTTCACCATGCAGTTCCGTACGGCTGTCTGTGTGAGTGGGTGTGTGTGTGTGTGTTTCTAGGGGCTGTTCATGTGCAGGGGGCCATCCCTCTCACCAGTGGTGGATGGCCACCGAAGAGGCCACTGGTGAGGGCTGTAAACGTACCTGCACAAACACACCGACTCCAATAGTTCTCCCTCCGCAGTTGTGTTGTTTTCATGGTGGTTTTATTGCTACTGTATTCCCCTAAACCTCCCCCCGCAGAGTTGCTGCTGAGCCACCGCCGCTGTCTGCAGACAAGTGAACCAATTGTTAAACATTCCAAGTGTGCCGACTCCTTCACCGTGCCGTTCCCTTGTCCCTTTCACTGTGGACTATGATACTGGATGAATCTGTGACAAAGTGTGTATATCGCTGTGCTTTCCCACTTGGGTCCGCAGTGTGATCACAGCAAGGGGCGCCGAAACCACCGTGTATCACAAATTGACTTTGCGTTTTTGAGTTCTCGGTTTCTGATATTGGATTGAGTTGTTTCACCCATGAGTCAGCCGAACCATATGCCGCCGGGCTCACGGACTAAATGCCGCCGGGCTTACGGAGAATGAACCCCCACCCCCTCCCCTCTTTCCTTCTTGCGGCTTCTTCGATTGTTAGGTGTTTCTTCAGGCTTGTTGGGTTGCTCTTGAGGCTCGTTTCCCTGCCCCTTGTTTTTCGTCTTTCGCTTTACTTCTAGTTCTAATCAGGGTAACAGAAGGAAATGGTACTCGACACACTTGTGTGTCGGTACCTTTCCTTCTGTTGTCCCTTTTCTAGTCTACTCTACCCGGGCGGTTTAAGACCAAAGTCCCGTACTCAACGACGACCGCTAAGTATTCAGTAACTATATAGTAACTAGTCTTACCTTTTAACTACACCTACTTTTCTCTCTTGCCCCCTTCGTTTTCTCTTTATGTTTTTCTTTCCTTTCTAAAGCTTGTTAGGTGCCTATTCAGGTTTGGACTTCGCAATGTGCTGTTCGTTCGGGAGAACATGCATGGCCTTACCCCTATCTGTCTTTCTTCCCCTTTTCTTCTTGCTTTTTCTGTCTTTCTTTCTTTCCTTTCTAAGGCTTGTTAGGCAGCTATTCAGGTTTCCGGCGGCGTGCGCACCGCCGGTGCGAGGGAGCGCCGCGAAGCGGCCACATGTGTGTGTCAAACCCTGTTTCTAAGGGCTGTTCATGTGCAGGGGGCCATCCCTCTCACCAGTGGTGGATGGCCACCGAAGAGGCCACTGGTACCGCTATAAACGTACCTGCACAAAACACACCGACTCCAACAGTTCTCCCTCCGCAGTTTTGTTGTTTTCATGGTGGTTTTCATGTTATTCCCCTAAAACATTCCAAGTGCGCTGACTCCTTCACCGTGCTGTGCCCTCGTCCTTTTCACTGTGGACTATGATGCTGGATGAATCTGTGACTAAGTGTGTGGACACTTGTGGGTTTTGTGGACCCTTGCCCTCGACAAGTGCAGAGATCGTCGGGGCACGCTCTGCGTTCACGAGCGAAATGTAAGCGTCGACAAGCATAAAGGAAGCAAGAGAGGAATGCGTCTCCATCCGTGCTTGAACTGTAGGATTTTTCGGTATGTGTCTTAGGCCAAACTACGGCCCAAAAAAACTTCCTCCAACCCAGAACAGACACCAACGTTTACAAGAATCAAACACCTGCCAAACTAGTTTTCACTTGTCATGTGACTCGAGAAGGTTGTCGCCCCAACTTTGCCCTTCAGCAGGTCAGCTGGATCAGTTCTAAGCCATGATATTCATATGTCACCCTAGACATCTCCGAAACACATAAAAGGATCTTATCTTGAAATTTCATGAGAGTCGTTTGTTTTATGTTATGATTTGTTTTGTTTGATTTTCGACTCTTTCGACCGATGCATCTCGCACATTTTGCAGCCGCTGCTGCTGGCCTCTTCGTTATCTTTGACCTCGCTCGCGATCGTTCGCTTCCTCTCGAGGTCCAGCTCTTCTACGCCTGCGGACGGTTAGGTCTCTACAAGGTGCTGTGAATCGGCGGCCGGGGGAGTCCATCCCAGGCTTTGCGGGGATGGAAGGCATTTTGGTGGATACATGTAGGAAATGCTGTGCTGACATTGACGCCTGAAAACCAGCTCAATGATGGAGTGTTTGTATGTTTGCATACGTCTATTGTGCTTGTGGGTGATTGGATGGTTTGGACACAGATGGTGTGTTTTGGAGCCCCAAAAGGATCGAACCATGGGGCCATGGGGCCAGCCAAGTGACGACCTGGAGGACTTGAACGACCTGGGTTGTTGTTTTGATTTGTGGCAAGGCCCAGCTTTTCAAGGGATGGCTCAGCCGGGACTCTCATTCTGCTACAATTTCACCTCCACAGCCAGCCGTTTGAAGAGGTCTTGCACTCCAACGAACACATCACATGGAAGCGGAGTGGAGTGAGTTCACCCCCTGTTCGGTATTCGGAAAGTAGTCTTCCGAACACAGGACCATGTCGTGGTTGCGCGTGGGCTGAGCGTGCAGCCTTGTGACCTCGATGGTACGGGTTGATCACATGCATCGGCACGCATTTCGTCATATCGGGTCATGAGATGGGGCTGCATTTCTTCACCATGTGGCCCCAGTATAGACTTCGTCAGCTGGCCAATTTGTTCATCTTTTGGTCAGCCTGGCAGCACCATTAACCTGACATCGGGGGCCTCATTCGTCACCATGTGGACCGACTCCTAGAGGCCACCATTAACCCTTCACATCGCTACACCCTGCGTCGGCCACGGTCTCCGTACCACGCGGGGACAGGTGGGAACCCCGGTTCCAGGAGCCGTTGACCGTTCTACTGGCGGAGTTGTTGAGGAAGACCGTGGTGAACCTGCCCGGCGCCCGGCACTGCAGAAGGACGTGCTGAAGCAGAAACCAGAAACGTGCCGTGCAGAAGGTCCGAGGGTTTGACACTTTGCGGGGGATGTTGGTGAAGAGATTAAAGAAATGAACAGGGGTGGAACATGGTGGAACTTGTTTTCAAGTTAGGACAAGGAAAACACTCTCCTTTTCCCGCCTCCACGGCTCCCCCCTTATCCGGCTTTGGGTTAGTTACAGTTCCAGCTTAGCTAAGTTGAGCTTGTCATTCTTCCTTTTTCCCATCCTTTTCCCAAG